TACACGAAAAGTTTTTCATAGTAAATAAGTAAGTGAGCTTTCATATTATGTATAATAGAATAGAAAAAAGAAAACTAATTTCCGGTGAAATGGAAAAATAATTTCCTGTGAAATAAAGAAAACAATTTTTGCTAGAATTGGATAAATAATTTTTCTAGTAAATGCGAAATACTTAAAATTGTTTGTAAATTATATTTGATAAAATTGTTCTTGTAATTTCGATTAAGATTCATTTTTATAAATGAATGGATTTATTTTTCACACTGAACTTTTATGAATAGGATTTTAAATTGAAAAAATAGGTCTAAAATTGAATATAAAGTTAATAAGAATATTTAAATTTTAAATATTATTTAAAAGTTATTTAAAATAATTTATTTATTAAATAGTGGATGTTAAATTCAGAAAATAAAATATTTTTTACTGTATAGCATTTATTGAATAAGAAAGTTTCAAATGAAACTTTATTTAAAATTGTTTTTTTTTGAAATATTGCTTTTAACAGATTTGTTGAGAGAAGTATTTGAAATTTACAAAATAAAAAATTTATATGAAAGAGCAAAATCGGCATAAAATGGTTAAAGCACTTTTAGTTAAATTTCGCTGTAAAAATTTTTTGTGCGAGCTTTCATAAGAATCATAATATAATCATAATTTTACTTTACTTTCATCAAAAAAAGTCTTATTAAAAATTTATAGAAGTGAAAAAAATATTTGTTTTTTTTTCATTTTGTATCCGAATTTTGTTGTTTTAAAATCAGGAAAAATTAATACAAATTTATTCCTAAAGTAAATAAAATAATAAAATAAGTAAGAAATCCCGTTAAATAAATGAAGTTAAATAAAAATGAAATAAATAAAATTAATAAATAGAATTAATAAAAAATTATTAATACAGGTTAGTAATTCTTTTTTTTGTTTTCATTTTTGAAAATTATCGTTTCGCAAAAATGAAAGTATTCAAAATTTATTTTGTAAGCTTCCAATTTGGGTTAAAAAATGTAAACCTGTAATTGAAGGCCGTTTTTATAGCTGCACGTTATAATCTAGTTTAAAATTTAATTTCGTGTAAAAAGTATAAAAATTATACTACTCTTTAAAAACATTGAATTTTATTATGATTTGTTAAGAATTTTGATTTATTTTTTTGTTTGTTTTATGAGAAACATAATGATGTGAAAATACTGAAAATATAATTTTTAATTTATACGCGAAATCAAAATGTGAAAATATAAATTATGTAATTAAATTAATAAATTCAATATTATTCTTAAATTTTTGTTTTCTACATTTTGTTTGAAAATAATATTTTTTATCATTTGAAATTAAATTATAAATTTATGAATATTATTAAAAAAAAATTTATATTTTTACATTATCAAATATTTACATCATTCCCGCAAAATAATTTTATTGTGGAAAAGTAATTTTCGCTATAAATTTTTAATGAACATATTTTCAAAAATCAATCTCAATTTACAAAATTAATTTTTAGTATATAGTGCATGTCACGCGAAAATGTTGAATCAAAATTATTGCGTTCGCAAATAGTTCAAATCAGGATTAGGTTAAATAAAAATTGGGTGAAATGAGGAAAAGGTTAAATAAAAAATAGGTCATATTACGATTAGGTCTAGTGAAAATTAGGTCAACTAAGGATTAGGTCAAATAAAAATTGTATCGATTTGAGATTAGGTCAAATAAAAAATGGGTCAAATAAGGATTAGGTAAAATAAAGAGAAGGTAAAAAAAATTCCAATATTATTAATAATAATACTAATAATCTAACAATAATTATAATAATACTAAAATAATATAATAATTAATAATGATTAGGTGAAATAAGAATTGAGTCAATTAAGGATTTTATTAAATAAAAATAGGTCAAAAGTAAGAATTACGTAAAATAAAAAGTGGGTCCAGTATGAATTAGATGAATGAATTAAATTAATAATAATAGTAATTAATATTAATAATATAAAATAAAATATAAAAATAATATAGGTAAATTAAAATAAAGAAAATAAAAATAATTAACAACATTAATATAAGAATAGAATTAAATAACGATTCGAATATATAGAAATTAGAGAAAATAGTAATTAGGCCAAATAAAAATCATGTTACACAGTAATTAAGCCAACTTATAATTATATTTCAGGACATCTATACTTTAGAAGGGAAAATTATACTCTAGAAATTATGTTACATTCAAATTAGTATTAAATATAAATTTTCTATTATAATTATAGAAGAATTAGATTCGATCGAGATAACACTAAAAGAACTAGTTTAGATAAAAATCACACTAATGAAAAATTGTATGCAGAATATTTTTTTTTCTTTTCGAATATTGAATTAAATTTTTGAAAAATTAGTCAAAGCAGATGAAATACTTTCTGTTGATTTAATATTTTTTTCGACCTTTTACAACATTTTGAGAGAAATTTTGAAATATTATAATTTAAAATTTTAACAAACGACAATAATCTTCTTTGTAAATGGAGTTAAATTTTTAAATCTGTTGTTTTATTGCAAAATTCGTGTTTGTTTGTCAATTGTGGAAATATTTGCTTTTTATAGAATTATTGCACATTTCGGTCGTAATTGGGAAAATCGTTGGATTAATTTTTTTTTAATATAGATTTTGAGTTTACTTCAATAAATTTTTAAAATTATTTTTTATTGAGTAGCTTTTCAAAGTAATTTTTTATTAGGTATTCTTTAAGTAATTTTTATTGTATAGCTTTTTTTAAGCCATTTTTTATTAGATATTTTCTCTAGTAATTTTTATAATTTTTTTTAAGCATTATAGGTATTCTTTTAGTAATTTTTATTAAATTATTTTTTAGTTACTCCTATTAAGTAATTTTTTATTATTAGATGACATTTTTATTAATATTTTTAGTATTTTAGTTTTATTATTATTTTATTATTAGTTTTATGTTTTTATTAAATTTCTTTAGTAATTTTTTTTATTAGGTATTTGTTCAACTCAACATTTTTCTTAATTTTTATTAGGTAGTTTTTGAAAGTAATTTCTAATTTGATATTACATAGTTTAGGTTATTTTTATTAGATATTCAATTAGTAATTTTTATTTTGTAGTTTCTTCAAATATATTATTGTTATCTTTATTATGCGATTTAAGTTATTAAGAGATTTTTTTTAGTAATTTCTAGTAGGTAGTTTTTTACTTACTTTTTATTAAGTATTTTTTAAAGATATTTTTTAGTAATTTTTTATTAGAAATTCATTTAGGAACTTATTTTTGAATAAATAAATAAATAAATAAATAATAATTTTTATTTTGTAGTTTCTTAAAGGTTAAAGTAATTTTTATTGAATAGTTTTTTAACGTTTTTTTAATAGGTTTTGTTTTAGTAATTTTTGTTAGCTAATTTTGTAAAGAAATTTTTTATTATTATATTAGTTAACAAATTTTATTCTTATTATTGTTGAATTTAAGATATTATTAAAAATTTTCTTTTGTAATTTTCGATTAGTTATTTTTTAGGTAGGTGCTTTTTATTATGTAGTTTTTATGATATTTTACTTAGTAATATTTTATTAGGTATTCATTTTAATTTTTATTTTAGGAATTTATATTATAGTTTCTTAAAATAATTTTTGTTAAATAGTTTTTTTTAAGTTTTTTTTAATAGGTATTTTGTTTTAGCAATTTTTATTGGATGATTCTTTAGTTACTTTTTATTAAGTAGCTTTTTAAGATATTTTTTAGTAATTTTAATATTTTTTATTAGGTAATAAGTATTCTTTTAGTAATTTTTATTAAATTATTTTTCAGTTACTTCTTATTAGGTAGTTTTTTAATGTAATTTTTTATTATTGGATCAAATTTTCATTATTATTATTTTTAGTACTTTAGTAGTTTTTTTAGTAGATTTATGTTATTATTTAATTTTTTTAGTAATTTCTTTATTAGGTAGTTTCTTAATGTAATTTTTTGTCATTAAGATAAAAATTTGTATTCTTATTATTATTTATTTATTTACAATGTCCCCGCGGTCAAAAGGCCGAGGGGTCTTAAACTTAAATTATAAAAAAAATAATTAAAATAATTAATGTAGGTAGATATTTTTCGTGTTTTGTTTTAGTCATTTTTATTTGGTAGTTTTTTAATGTAGTTTATTATTATCAGATGAAAATTTTTCTTGTTATTATTATTAGATTTAAATTATTATTATTAGAAATTTTTTATTACATGATTTTTTCAGTAATTTTTGTTAGGTAGTTTTTTTTAGTAATTTTTATTAGATAGTCTTTTAGTAATTTTTTGTTAGGTAGTTTTTTTTTAGTAATTTTTGTTAGGTAGTCTTTTAGTAACTTTTGTTAGGTAGTCTTTTAGTAATTTTTGTTAGCTAGTTTTTCAAAGTAATTTCTTATTATTAGGGAAAATTATTATTTTTATTATTGTTATTATTAATATTATTATTACTATTGTTATTATTATTGTTATTATTATTATATTTGACTTATTTCCAGATATTTTCTTTAGTAATTTTTTACGAGGTGGCTTTTTAGTTACATTTTTGTAGGAAGATATTTTTGGTTTTAATTAACTGCTAGTATATAAGGAAGTTATGCAAAATTCGTTTTAGGTGAATATTATATATATATTTAGAGAGGTGGAAAATGAAGAATAGAGAATGAATGAAGAAAGTGAAAATTGTTGAAATTCTTGCCGGTAAATTTATATATAATTTAGAAGTTCGGCCTTGAAATTAAGTTTCACGAGATAAGAAGGTCAAGTGCAAATTAGGTTGTTATTTTGTGAGGGTCTTGCTTGCTTAGTGACATGATGTAATAAAACAGAGAGAGAGCCCGAAATTCTATGGACCAGGAGAATCTTCAGCACTGGAAGCTCTGAGAGTAAACCCCCACTATATCCACCCACATCCCCTCTTCTCTCGCTCTAATGTTTTCCACCCCTCATGCAGCGCAAAGGGCTGAACCGGTCAGTGTATTTTCACGACGGAATCAGCGTCGAGCTCAAACCCGTTTAACGTACCGTCCAAACGTTTATGACGTTTTCGAAATTACAGTTTACGCTCGGTAAGTGCGCGGCGCGACGATGTTGTTACACGCAAGTCGAGCGAATACTGATTCTCGCAATTAATTGCAGTATGATGCGTTTGTAATTATCCGCTTCTGAACTGTGTTTAATCACTTTCAGTGATCCATTTATTTACAGTTTCAACTTCGTGTTGTTAGCAACCGGGTTTTAAAAAAAAGAAAGAAAGAAAAAAAAAACAAAAACAAAGTTCTCCCTTGTGACTTTTCTTCTTCGTCTTGTTTTTTTTTCTTGTTTCTTCTTCTTCGTCTTGTACTTTTTTTCCTATTATACCAACTGTGCCAGGTGATTAAAGAGTTCTTGTTTTTTTTTGTCAAAGATTTTTTGTTTTTTTTTCGCCCACCCTCCTTTCTGTGCTCGCGGGGGGATAAAAGAAAAAGTTGGACTGTTGGGAAAAGACAAAGAAAAACAAGTGTATATAGTTTATTTGAGAAAATCGTGGTATACAATAATTTGAGTGGGACACAAAGAAAATGGATTTACGCTTTTTGGAGGAAATGAGAAAAAGAGAGGAGAGAGAAAGAGAGAGGCTGTTTATTGTCTATTAGTTGAATTTTCTAAAAAAAAGGAGGTATTGTAGTTAGAAAAAATATTTTCTGTTACACGAAATTGTGTTTATGAAAAGTTATTTTTATTCATTTATTCCCGAAAGTTCCTTTTATGGAAAGTTAAAAAATTTTGCTTTAAATCTTTGCTTCTTGAATGCAGCAAATATTTGGAAGAAAAGAGAGAATTTTGTTTTTTAGATCAGAGAACATTTTCTAATATATATCTTCTCACGATATTATGAATGTCTAATTTTCCGGACGAGAATTCATTTTATTGAAAAGTTGTATATAGGGTTTAGATTGCATTTCTAGGGAGACAGAGGTTTCTAATATCTCGAAATGACGAGAATTGTTGGCATTTTTATATAGTTAAATATCTGCTATTCGTTTTATGAATCTCTGGATTTTTCTTCACTTTTAATATCGATATATTAATATTATAATTATTTATTCTCTTTTTTTTAAAAAAAGTCATGATATTAAAAATATACATATATTTATCTGGAGCATAAAGAATCATATTAAAATTATTGTGGCATAAAACATATTTCTTAATTTATTCCATATTTTTATCACTGTATCGATAGTAGAAAAAATGAATAATTTATTTAAAATATATTTTTCTAAGGATAAAAGACAAAAATCGAATCAGAAGTGTTGCTTTGCAACACATTTGATTCGATTTTTGTCTTTTTGATATCCTTCGAAAAACTGGGATCATATTAAAAAATGAGAATGTAATACACTATTAAAAATAGTTTTTTCCCTAAATTTTGTAGTTAGTTTTGTTTACGGATTCTATTTTTATAATTAGATGATAGTTTCCTTTCTTTTTTGTCAATGAAATTTATTGCAGTTTTGTTAAAATGGGTTAAAATTACTTTCTTTTGCATGAAAAAAATTACTGGATGAAAAATTGTCATGAAAGGTTGGTGGAAAAAAAAAGTATGGTCGTTATTTTACTTTCAACTCTGTGAAGCTGGGTAGTGTAACCTAACACTGTATATAACTGGGTTGTCAGATTTTGTTTACCCCAAAAAAACAGTGAGTTAAACCCATTTATTTTTTGTTTTTTTTTTTATTTACAAGCATGTTCAGGTGAAAATATGTGTTTTTGCTGTCTTTACGTCGAGATTTCAAAAATGAGCAATCATTTGACATTTTTTTTTCATCTATTATAGAATCTCTTTTATATTTACTGCAAATATTTTTGTACTAATACAAAATTTTTTTTGACAATAACAAAATATTTTGTTCTGCTGCAAATAATTTTGTTCTATTACAAGAAATTTTTGTACTGCAACAAGAATTTTTGTTCTATTACAAATTATTTTTTTATTATTGCACATTATTTTGTTTTACTACAATAGAAATTTGTACTACTACAAGAATTTTTGTTCTACTACAAATTGTTTTGTATTAATGCACATAATTTTGTTCTACTACAAAAAATTTTGTACTGCCACAAATAATTTTGTAATATTCCAAATAGTTTTGTTCTACTGCAGATTATTTTTTATCTCTTTTATATTTACTGCAAATAATTTTGTTCCAATATCAATAATTTTGTATTATTGCAATAATAAGCTTGTTTTACTACAAATAATTTTCTTCCACTGCAAATTATTTTGTATTATTGAAAATAATTTTATTGAAGTACAATAGAAATTTTGTACTACCACATGGATTTTTGTTCTACTACAAATCGTTTTGTATCATTGCACATAATTTTGTTCTACTACAAAAAATTTTGTACTACCACAAATACTTTTGTAATATTCCAAATAATTTTGTTCTATTACAAATTGTTTTTTATTATTGTACATAATTTTGTTCTAGTACAAGAAATTTTGTACTACTACAAGAATTTTTGTTCTACTGAAGATTATTTTGTGTTATTGCAAATAATTTTGTTCTACTACAAATCATTTTGAATTATTGCAAATAATTAACTAATTTTGTTCTATTGCAAGTAATTTTGTACTATTGTACAAATAATTTTTTTCTGGTACTACAAATAATTCTGTGTTATTACAAATAATTTTGTACTGTTGTAAGTAGTTTTGTACTGATACAAATAATTTTGTAATTTTACAAGTAATTTTGCACTGATACAAATAATTTTTTATTATTGCAAATAATTCTGTACTACTACAAATAATGTAGTACTCTCTAAATTTTAATTAGTGGAAATTTAGCCACTAATTCACAATAGTAACAATTTTTACTAATTTTTAGTCATCTTTCACTAAAGCTTCAGTAAAAAATACTATAAATACTGAACTATACTAAAATACTAGAATTAAAAAACTGAAAGATTTGCAATCTTGTTTAAAATTATAGTATTTTATATTTTTATATTTTACTAAAAATTAATGAATATTCCTACCAATTTTTAATTAGTTGTTCAATTTTTACTAATTTGGATTTAGAGAGTACTATTAAAAAAAATATTTGTACTACTTACAAAATTATCGTCGTTTTAACTGAATTAGTGAACGATTTTTTTTTTATTCTAAATTAATTTAATTCTATTTAATTTAACTGTTCTAAAAATATTTTTGTACTACTTACAAAATTATAGTAGTTTTCAAAAAATTAGTGACTGAGTTTTTTAAAAAATAGTAAAATACTCATTTTTTACTAATATTAGTGAATATTTTTACTAATTTGAATTAGTGGCTTAATTTACATTATTTCAGTTTTAGTAAGTTGGACTACAAAAAATGTTATACTACTCTCTAGAATTAGTACAAAAATGTTTACTAATTTAAATTAATTACTGACGTTTTGCTTTTGAATTAGTAAATTTTATTAATAAATTAATAGAAATTACTATTTATCAGTAAAATTTACTAATTCAAAGGCGAAAAGTTCAAATCTGTTCAAAAAGTTCAAATTCATATCAAAAAGTCACTAGAGCAAATTAGAAAATATTTTTAGATTCAAATTTAGAGGGACACTTTGACAAGTTTACAATATTACAGTAGTTTTAACTGAACCATTACCTCAAGTTTTTTTATTTTAAATTAATTAGTTTTTTGCCACAAATTAATACAAATTAATTTTAGCGAAAAATGTTTATTAAACGACAAAAATCTTGAAGAACATTTTTAATTAACTATTTTACAAATACTTTTAAAAATACTTTTAAAAATACTTTAAAAAAACTGAATATTTTAAAAATCAATAAGATAGAATGTAAGGGTTTTAAAAGGGGAATATTATGATTGTTTAATAATATACGTTTAAACATAAAAACCGTTTTATAATATGAGCTTTCTAAAAAATATTACGACAGTACTTGTTCCTTGAAAGCTTTATGTCATAAAAAGTCGTATGTAAAACTTTTTTTTTATTTTATTTTTCTGAATTTAAAAGCTTTTTTTTACAAGTTAAATGCGAATATTATTCGTTATTTCCAAACAATTAATGTGCTATTACGGTTATTTTCTCTCTCTCAAAAAAAAAGAATAAGTTTCAAAGTCATTTGAAATTTATAATTGAGCAATTAAAACAAACACAGGCTTTTAAGCAATTTCAAAATGCCCGGAGAGATGTCAAAAGAGCGTTATGGAGTTGTTACACACATATATGTTTACTAAAAATTATTATGGGTTGTAATGTTTTAAAAAAAATTTTTTTAAACTTTTTTTTTAATATAAAAATGTACTTGGAAGAAAAATTAATGGATATTAATAATGGTTTTCATAAATCAGAAACTCCATAAGATATATATCGATGTATATATATAGAGTATATATATGAAAGTGCTGATAAAGGTTCGTGGAAATTAAAAACTAAAAGGCACTGATAGAGTATTTTTTATTACGGGTTCTAATTTTTTTCTTTATCTTTTTTTTTGAAGATAACTTTGGAAACTTTAGTAATTTGAATTTAACTATGAAGCTAACCAATAAACTTCCCTACTCCATCGACTCAGATGTGATTATCTTAACGCATAAAGTCTATTAAAGTTGTTAACACGCTGCTAATATCTCCACGGTTAATGAATGTAATTATTATTTCAGTTTAAAAATCGAGATTAATAAGTTATTTTTGCAAAATTTCGTATCTTAAGTTATTGAACGTTCTAATGAAGGAAATTTTTTTATTTCTTCTTTGTGTTTTACTTAATAATTAGCTTTAGGGATAAAACAATAAATTGGGAATTGTTAAATGTTTCAGTTACATTTTTTCCTCCTATTTTTTTATTTTTGCTTTCTAGTTTATTCCTCATTCTATTTTTGTTGTTTTTGTTTTCTATTGTTATTCTATTTTTAATATTTTTGGTTTCTATCATTTTCTATTTTCATTTTCCATTTTTTCTTTCCATTATTTTTGAACTTTTGTTTTCTATTTTCTATATTTTTTCTTTCTCGTTTTTTTCTATTTTTTAATTATTGCTTTCTATTGTTTTTCTACTTTTGTTGTCTATTTTTTTCCATTTATTAACTTTCAATTGTTTTCCTATTTTTGTTTTTTACTTTTTTCCTATTTTATTTAATTTTTGCCTTCTTTTGTTTCTCAATTTTTGTTTTCTATTTTATTTTTTAATTTTTGCTTTATATTGTTTTTCTATTTTTTTTCTTATTTGTTTCTATTTTCTTCTATTCTTGTTTTCTATTGTTTTTCAATTTTTGCTTTCTTTTGTATTTCTATTTTTGTTTTCTAATATTCTCTTTTATTTTTGTTCTCTATTTTTTCTATTCTTTGCTTCTATTTTCTTCTATTATT